TCCTCCTCCCTCCTTTGTTGGCTCTTTCTTCCTCAGACCCCCAACCTCTTCCCCTCCTTCCCCTCCTCCCCGCCCCCACTTCCCTTTCCCTAAACCCGTGGGATCTCTGTTGATGTCATCATACGATAGACTGCTCTGCTATCAATTTTTTTTTAATTGAAGCTTTCGGGTTAAGCTGCCATCATGATAATCCGTCTATGTTGATCATATTTAGAAAAAAAAATAAAAATAAAAAAAATTCTGTCTATGCTGGTTTATTTCAGGCCTTGTGGATGGACAATTTACTTATCTTCCCCAGGGTTGGGAGAATGCCAGCCCTGATCGCGGTGCAGTGCAGAGGATGTGGTCATTTCTGATCCTGGACTCCAAAATTCCCAACGCCTGCACCAAAAAATCTACCGTCCACTCCCGAATAGAACGCCCGGTCATTACCGACGCTCTTGGACCCAAAGTTGTGTGACCGGGCGTTCTATTCGGGGGTGAAGACGATAGGTATAATGGTCCCAGTAATTGTTTTATAAAATCCTTGTTTGTGGAGGATTCCCGGGGCCAAGTTTTTTTTTTTTTTTTTTTTTTTTTTGGGAAAAGGGCTAAGTCCCACTTACCTGAGTTCTTAATTCCTGGCCTTCGATTTTAGTCCCCGCAAGATCGACGGCCAGAAATGAAGAATCGGCGCTACAGTCTTCCCCCGAACACAACGAACCCTCATTTTGGCTGTATCTGGCCGGAAATATAGCTTGTATACATTCATTTTTAGGGTGCGTTGTGTTCGGAGGAAGACGGTAGTGGGAAATGTGCCGAGTTGTTTCGTAAAAAAAAAAAAAAAAAAGAATCAATGATCAGCATGAGGGTTTCTGATATATTTTTGAAAAATTAACTTTTTTTTTTTTTTTTTTTTCCTGTCCTCCTTTTGTCTTTATGTTTCTTTCCCCCTCTCCCTTTCTCTTCTTCTCTGTTTAACTTTTTTGTCCCCTCCCTCCTCCCTTTACTTCTTCCTCTCGCCTCCCTCGTTTTTCCTTAAGTTTGTGTTCGATCTTTCTGATTTTTTTTATTTTTTTTTTGCTAACTCGCTTGCTTCCCTTCTCTTCAAAGTGCGAGACACAATTTAAAAAAAAAAAAGAAACAAAAAGTGCGAGACAGTGTGAGTATATGGGCCTCGGCGCACCGCCACTCGCCAAACGCCGATATTCTGAATTTCTGAATGAATATGAACGCGGCATTGGTACAGATACATTCAAAATGTTGGCATTTGACGAGTGATGCGCCGGGACCCCATCATACCCTTATTGTCGGATTTAAGCGGATTTAATAAAACATGGGGGGGGAGGGAAGATATATATTTTTTCCCCCACCCCTTTTTTTTTTTTTTGGTAAAAATCGATCATGGTAAGGACTTGTTTTCCTTCCTTTTTTCTTTTTTTTTTAATTTTTTTTTTGTAAAGTCGATATGGTTTTCTTTTTCCTTTGCCTTAGGAGCGCTGTATTCGTTTTTCTTTTTTTTGTCCCCTCGATTTATGCGTGTCATCTTTGCGCAGGCTCGAAACCTGCAGGGGCCACCAAAAAAAAAAAAAAAAAAAAAAAAAAACCCTTCTCTTTCTCTGTATCGCTCCAATTGTAACGGATGTATATTAAATATTAAGTACTGAATTCGCCTTCCTTCAAAAAGCGAGTTCGACTTCTTTTTTTTTTTTTTGGTCAAAGTCGAAATTTGATTACAATTTACAATAACAATTCGCCTTCTGCATTTCAGATAATCCGCCGCGTCTTTTTTCATAAGCCAAAACTGTAACTGATGAAGGCATTACGCTAATTGCTGACTCGATTCGAAGAATCAGTTGAGAAGAGGACTAGATTCAATCTAGGGTTTAGGGTTGTGGGATATTGTCTATGTGTTGCAGTCTCTCTATATATCTATATCTACATATATATCTATATATTTTCTGAACAGGGGGAGTTATAAGGAAGAAGACATTAAAAACGAATGATTTTTTTCTTGTTTTCTTCTGTTTTTTTCGCCTTTGCGCTCTCATATTCATGTGACGATATATATATAGCTCTGTTTGACGATATATTCACAGTGTGACTATATATTGTCACACTAGTGTGACAATATATAACGACGCAACAGTTTGTCACAGCCCCTCCCTCGTTTGTTGTTCTCCTCTCTCTCCCTCTCTCTCTGCCTACGGTCTACCCGGCAGCTCTGTTTGATGATATCAGCTCTGTTTGATGATGATATCAGCTCTGTTTGATGATATCAGCTCTGTTTAACTATATATATATATAGGGTTCAGCCTCCTGATGAGTCGGTGAAACTCCGACGAAACAGTTTGTCACAGCCCCTCGTTTGTTGTCCTCTTCTCTCTCTCTGCCTACGGTTTACCGGGCAGTTCTGTTTGTGACGATATATTGTCACATGATATCAGAGCGCCAAAGCGAAAAACGAAAGAAAACAAGGAAAACAAAAAAAACTCGATTCATTTTTTATGTTCTTCCTTACAAGACTCCCCCTGTTCAGAACCTCTTGCGTACAAGGCCGCCCGCGTGGATGTAGGTTGAGCGGCGGCTGCGCCCACCCCCTTGTGTCATATATGGATATGGTAGAATTTGTTTTGGTGACCATGTCTGCAGCATCCCGGTTGGTTTTGTCCCGTTGTTGTTCGGGGTCTATTTTGGCTTGGCGAGAGCGTAGCGGTGCTTTCATTTGGGACCAGTCATCTGTTTTTTTTTTTCTTTTATAGTTTTGGCATCCTAGTAGGTTGCTTCCCGTTGTTCGGCCTGGGTGAGGAGGGGCCGGTGCTTTTATGTGGGAATCATCATCTGGGATTGTCTTTCATGTTTTTTTGTCCCAGTAAGAATGGTCATAGGAAATTCAACTTCTTGATGTCGAACAAGGCTATCGACTGTATATACATATGTATCTGGGATTCTTTTTTTTGCAGACAAGAGTGTTTTGTCCTGGGTGGTCTTGTCCCGTCGTTTGGCCTGTGTAGGACTGGGGCGGTGCTTGGATGTGGGACTTGTCATCTAGGATCCTGTTTTTTGTGCGGTTGCTTATTGCCCCCTGTTTTGGTTTGTTGTATTTGGCTGTTTCCCTTCGTCTCTTCTTTGCCTCTTTGCCCTTTGGCTGTGTGCAAGTGGGTCGATATGACACACGGGGGTGGGGGCAGCCGCCGCTCAACCTACATCCACGTGGGCGGCCTTGTACGCAAGATGTTCTGAACAGGGGGAGCTATAACGAAGACGATAAAAAAATGAATTCATTTTTTCCTGTTTTTCTTTCTTTCTTTCTTTCTTTTTTTCTTTTTTTCGCTTTTGCGCTCTGATATTTTTGTGACAATATATATCTATATTGATTCTATATATTGTCACAAATTGTAGACGAAGAGGGAGTGATGATAGAAAAGCAGGAACAGTCAGAACCGACCATATCCTAAAAAATCGTAGCCACGACAAGGCGGCAACCATACGAAGAGGGAGTATTGTCACAGAGTTGTAATGGCGACGAGAGAGTATGTGTGTGTAATAGAGAGAAGGAGAGAAGAAGGGGGCGATGGGGAGGAAGACATTGGGGGGGGGGGGGGGGGCCAGAAGGTGGGGG